TTTGCCCATGTTTAGAACCTAATAAGTGACTATTACTCCATGTTGACCACCGTATAATAAATATCCTAAATATAAGGCATCAATAACGTAACATTAAATCACCTATAGTGGTATATGTTTACTATGGGATAATTGTTACTAAAGGGATTATGTTATCGACTACTATTGTCACCTGGTTAATAGGCCCATAATAGGGAAAAGTATGGAGTTAGGCTATATTAACCACCTACTATCCATATTAATCATCTTATGATACACAATCTTGTACATTAATATAGTTATAATATTGATATCAAAATCTAAGCTATCTAATTGCATAGGTGTTATACTAGGTGGTTAGCCTTTAATCCGCCTATATATTAATAATCACAATCAATAGTAGGTATACCAATCATAATTAGTATTGGAGATGAGGGGCCTATATACAGGAGAGAGTGACATATTACTAATATGTAGACTCGAATAGATGATTATTGGTAAGTGGCATATATAATAGGAAGATGCTCTTAACATCTATATTAAATATATCCTAATAGGAAAATACTATTATTATTTTCTCATATAATAGTATTACCCCATTAGATAATGTCATCCTACCCATTATACCTGGTGGGTATATATAAATAAGAATCACACCATGGAGTAGCTTGTTCATGTTCTTCCTAGATCTAGTTTAATTGTTCATGGATTCACCATAAAAAATAGTACTCCTCGAGTTATTGGTAAAGGTATATGATTGTTAAACATTGATTCCTCTAACAATTACTTATAGTTTAGTTACCTTACTATAGCTAATTCATATTGTCATAGACTAATAATCATCTATTAAGGTAGATGTGGGTACAATTACCTTAATATAACAATCAAGATATAATTATCCTTATAGAGGTACCCAACCTTCATGACTTAAATACACTCTTTCCCATTAATATACATAGGAGTATTAATTAGATAAGTTATATTTCTATAAATTTGAGCATAAATAATGAAAAGTATAATTTTATGATTAATGGACAAGTCCTCTAACAATATACTTTTCTCTAATATCACTATTTTCTAATAAACCATCGAGATGAGCATTCTAGCTTATAATGATGGTTCATTTCTTCTATTGTTACTATGGCAAACGTGATAAGAATAGGCCATCGCCATAATTATAATCATATCCCGATATCCGATACTCGAAGTGGAAGGATAATCATTAACCATAATTATAATCATATCCCGATACCTCTATTAATCCCTAATTTAGGATAATCCAATAAAACTATTCTTAAATTCTCTAATTGTCAAATTGGGTCCCCTTGTTATTAATGCAGATATCAATGTGGAAAAAAAAATTCAATGTTAACTAGGATTGGTCCCCATGTAACCACATATTTTATGCATCAATATATATCTCATAGGGTATACTTGTTATCACATAGGTTTGTATTATCATTCAATTATTCCTAATTGATACTCTATACCTCTCTGTTAGGGGTTATTTCCTAAATATACTTTGTCTTCCTCTTCTCTCAATCTAATATAAAAGGGCATGAAATTATAATCATATATTCATCCTAATAAGAGTTCAATGTCATATTAGATGGGATAGTTAACCTTAATGAGAAGTTACGCAGTAAAAATATGTACTTCCTATGTGGTTATTCAAGTAGTCTCCTAGCTAGAATAATATCAAGTTAGCTATGGGATTACTGATTCTCATAATACACCCCTTCATATATCTCTATATATAAATCATAACACACAAGTATCAATATTCCTTAATAAGCATCAATAGTAGGGTTATAGCCATAATTGAAGACTCATTACTAAAAAACCTAAAAGATCCGAGATAGTAACTATTCATTTACTATAGCAATCTTCTTTTTCTTTTTTTGAATGGCTTTGGATGCTTGGGACTTGGGCTTGTTTTGGCAACTCAAACATGGCCCTCTTTTTTTTTTTTTTTTTTCAATATCCCTTCAAGGATCATGTATAAAGTCTGCAAGTCGATATATGCTTTCAATGAATGACGGTGATTTCTCTATTCTTTTCTACAACCACTTTTATTATTCGAACATGACTTGGACTTTTTTTAAAAAATTGAATATAAAGAAAATGTTTTTCAATAGATATATATATATTACTTTAACTAAAACCTAAAAACAGTGAAACCATCATGTGATTGTACTCGTTCATTTTAATAATATAATTTTTTCTTTTCTTTTTTTCCTGTTTTCTTTGTACTTTTACTTTTGCTTTTGCTTTTGCTTGACCCTCAATTATACTACTCAATCTTAGTTTTTTTTTTCCTTTCTTTTTTAATTTTCACTCTTACTTATTTTCTTATTTTAAAAAAAAATTAAATTATTTCGTCTTTATTCTTTTTACTTTTAACCCTTAGTTTTTTTCTAAACAAAATATTCAAATTATTTCATTTTGATCCCTAAAATTTTAAAATAAAAATTTTAATCCCTAGCCGATTCACTGTATGTTTTTTTTCTTTGGTTTTTTTTTTTGTCTCATCAATTTATATTTTTTTATGTGATTGAGAGTAAAAAATTTTAAAAATCGATCGTTATTTTCTTTCGCACAAGTTGGTAATTTTCTTTACTCTCACACTATACTACTCAATCTTAGTTTTTTTTTTTCATTTTTTTTAAATTTTCACTATTACTATTTGTTCTTATTTTCTTAGTTTTTAAAATTTTTACTCTTATTGCTTAAAAGTTTTTCTTTAATTATTTATTTCTTATTAAAATTCTAATCAAATTAATTTTTTGATATAATTTTATTTGTCAATAATTTGTTTTAATATATAAATTTGGGAATGAAATTTTAGAATGTCGATATTTTTAAATATATTATTATAATTTATAAATTCTTATTATATATATATATATAGAGAGAGAGAGAGAGAGAGAGAGAGAGAGAGAGAGCTAAGAGTATATTTTAAATAGTCCGGCCTAATGTTTTTTTAAAAATTAATATTTGGTTAAAAAAGTCATAAGTTTTATTTTTTATTTTATATATATTTATTCAAAATTTACTAAAATCAATTTCATTATAGTTTTTATTTCAATTTATTGACTTTGATATATTTTATACAATTTAGAAAGCTTAGATCTTTTTTTCCCTTCGTATATATATTATCATGAAATTAGTTGTGAAAAAATATAGAAAATAAATTATTTACTTTTTTTTTTAGTTTTACATGCAGTTTGAAGATGATAGAATATATATGATATTTTTTAAGATTTTAGTTTGAACATATATATCTCGATTATATTACTCTTATTGTTTAAAATCTATTTCTTAAAGTATTTGTTTCTTATTAAAATTGTCATCAAATTAATTTTTTGATATAATTTTATTTGTTGATAATTTTTTTTTAATATATGAATTTTGGAATAAAATTTTAGAATGTTGTTATTTTATATTGTAAAAATATGTTATTATAATTTATAAATTCCGATTATATATATATATATATATGAGAGAGAGAGAGAGAGAGAGAGAGAGATAAAAGTATGTTTTAGATAGTTTAACGTCAATTTTTTTAAAAAAAATCATAATTTTATTTGTATATATATATATATATATATATATATATATATATATATATATATATCGAATCAATTTTGTTGTAGGATTTTCTTTTTTTAGTCTATTAACTTCAATATATTTCATACAATTTAGGTGAGGTTTTTTTTTGTATATTTTTCTATTTATTCTATATCCTCTAAATTTGTTAAGTATGATATGTATATGTATCATTAGTTTTATTAGAAATTAACTATATATCCGCACATATAATACCAATTCTTTATTATTTATTTTTTATATTCTAAATTTTTTTAAAAATAAAATAAGTTACATAATGTTTTGAAACAACTTCTCAATTATTCAAATACAAATTTTTATACTAATATTATTAAATATTTTATTAATAATACATATATAAATCAAGTGATTTCACACAATATATAGATTCAATTTATATTAATCATCAAAATAAAACTTTTACTCATAGTATACTATACAAATCGTTAACGCTACGTATATAACAATTGCTTAACCACCGCGTAGCGTAAGTACCCATCTACTATTACTCTATAATATTTGAGAGATCACCTACCATAATTTTTATTATAATCATGTGATTATAGTAAACCAATTACTCCTTTATTTATAAATAGTTAGTGATAACATAAATTGGGTAGGGTAATTAAGGCCACAACTTAGATAATTCCTTAATAGGCATACAAAATATATTAGGTTAATTTACCAAGTTAACCCTAAGGTAGAGTAAAAATGCCCCTAATACCCTCATTCCAATTATGAAGCCAAATATCAACTACTAGATAACATCAAGAGATAATCCTTCCCTATACTTAAATTAGAAGGGTGATATGGCACATATCCCTTATTAAGGGCTGTATTAGAATAATAAAAGGTTATTCTACCATGGGGTTTTTTAACAGTAATAAGGATGAGTTGTTTAGGTTGATGATGGTGTGTAGGTTACAATGGAGAATTTAACACCATTATTCTTCTCTCAATTGAGGAACTTCATATACTATGGGGAGATATCCTTTTCTATAGTAGGGAAATAATTTATGAGGCATATCTCTAAAAATGGTTCGATATATTGCCACTTCCTCCGATAAACTGTATCCTCAATAGAGATCAATAAAGTATGTTATAAGTCCTAATCACCAAGCTAGGTTAGTCCTCCTAGAATATTTATTATAGTATTACCTAGTAGATCACTTTATGTACAAGATAGTTGGCAATATGTATTGATAGGACTATATAACCATACGAGTTTATTACAAGGAAGTGGCAATATATCAGACTATTTCTATGACAATTGGATAGTGATATCAATAGTAGTATTAGGTATGTAAGATATGGAGACTATTAGGAGGACACTTGGAAAAAAACGTAATAGTTGTTTAGTCTTTTGGATATTATATAAACTCTCAATATTATGGATTATTGAAGTAATGTAGTGAGTTTACCCATGGCCTCAATCCTAATAACCATTTTTCTAATGGCCTTAGAGAGGTTATATAATATCACAACGTAGGGAATATATAATAGGTCACTAATAAAGAATACATATATTGGAAACAAATGGTATAATATGGTCAAATATTTTATAGCCCTAATGATCTTATGTTTGTTCCCCCATAATAGAATAGGGGTTACCTTATCAATGGAATAACCATAGGCAATTTTATATAAAATCCTCTAGGCCACCTATGATAGTTTACTAATCATTATACACTTGTGGATAATTATACTTATACTAGTAATCATCAAATGTTGATAGTATTAACCTAATATGGTCGAGATAATTGGCAAATATCATTATAGTTAGATGCATTATAGTCAGATAGTACTTATTTTAATTCTATCTAGATTAAATTGTCTACTTAGAATGTTTACTATCTATATTAGTAATATAATTAAATCAATCCCATATATAGAGTTGCAATAGTGATGTTAATGACCTATTATGATGGGGTCACTATATTAGGTGACTAACCAATTAGTTAATGTTTAGTATGGCAAGACCATTGACTTTACACTAAAATCACTCATTTATAAATACAAGGAACATTCAAATTCTGAGTGATTATCTCCTTAGGCAACCGTTATGTTGATTAGGTTTGGTCCTTATAATATCTTGAGTTCAATTATCTTAACGGTTGATATACATGTAACTTTACAATATTGTTATAGTTATAGGGAATAATTCATGGAATATAGGCCCTCCATTCAAAATGATGGTCCACCTACAAAGGCATGCCATAATCAAATGGCTTATACGGTTAAATATTATATTAGAGAATCTAAACAAAATTTAAGATAACCTTTGTATAGGATATTGGGCATTATGATCAGAATATCACCTCCCGTATTATTGTATTATGATGGTTATATCATAATATATCTACCGTATATGCCTTTAACTATAATTAACCTTATCCTCCTAATAAAGTTAATTATATAGATATTCCACAATGGAGTTTGTGTTTGACCAATCTACCTAACCAATGGTCATTAGTTTTTAGATGGCGTCAATAAACCTTTTCAAGCTACAAGGGTTATTACACATTAGAGCATCTTTTTCGGAAGGGGTGTTTAGGATGTTATCCACCCTTTATCAATGAATGAGTAAAAATATGGATTAACTTGACGAGCATAGTGATACCGTGACCTAGATATTTATCCTATTTCATTTGCAATTTCTATAATTAGATTATAACTATAGTAGGTAATATCCTATTTTTACCACTTATCAAATTAATACTCCAAAGTGAATATTGATGATCTTTGTATAGTTATCGAATACCTTTCTCCCTAACATAGGGAGATACCTTATAAATATCCTTTGTCCTAATCAATTCACAAATATAGGATATAACGGTTGGATATTCATTATCTCTTCCTTATATTACCTAATTAGTACATTGTCCAATGGAATTGGATAACATAGCCAAAGTTATTAATATTTAGGAAAGGATTAACAATCCTAATATAGTAATTTATTGAGATATTGTTAACGATTAGAATGGGAGATATGGTAGGAAGATATTATATTGAGGAGCCTTCTTATAGATATCGACATAACTCTCGGATTAGATAGGCTATAATTAACCATACATTACAAATTCTTGATATTCAATAATTTTTTATATAGAATGGTATTCCATGGTTAATAGTGTTGTCTCCATATGATATATTCACTATGCAACTCTAATATCCCCCTTACATTAGTCCTCTAGCTTATAATCTTTTTTATGGGTCAATAGTTGGAGGTTTGCATATACAACATAAAGGCAGATGATATTTACGTGCACTTTGGATATTAATATTCTATCGAGATTGCTTATTGGGGTCCTTTAGCATAATTATTATATCGTAAAAGAGTGCATATATACCCTCAATATGGGTGAGGATTATCTTTGATATACCAAATCTATATATCAACACGGTTCCTCACGAATATAGTTTAACCTTATCATGTCCATCATTGATCTAGAGAGATGAGTTTAAGATGGCGATATGGACTAGGCACTTTGATGGCCTCATATTAGTAGGCCAACAAGAGTATACCCTAAGTTCTCATAATACCTCTCACTATTAGAGGAATATTAATAGCCATGTGGGATATTATTGAGTTTGGGGAATAGGCCTTACATAATAGTTACCGATACACCCTAATATTTATATCATTAATGTCATCACAACGATTCATACACCAATCAAGAGTAATTACTATATAAGGTATGCCTTTACTCAAATGTCTTACCACAAAGGTTGATATTCTGTTACTAATTTGGATATTTAGCTCTGTAGAGCTAATATATGATATCCATTATTGATAATGCTATAACCATAAAGTAATCATATATCCCCATTACTTATTAGATCATGAGGAGAAACTCTATAGAAACAAGTTTGGAATAACCATTATAGGCATAAGAAAATCCCTTCCTCAACTAAAATAAATGATATATTTATTAAGACAACCTTAACATCACCAAAATCTCACCTCACCATGTGATATTATCATAAGGGAATATTTACAAACTTATATATGCGGAAATGAGTGTAATTATTTAGGCATACCACCTCATTCCCTCCTTACAATGTCCCTACAATTATAGGCACCATAACCATCACTCCCTCTCTCTACCACTCTATTTCTCTCCCTCTCTCTCACTCCTACTCTCTCTCACCCTAACAATTAGATGCTAACGTGCCCTTAGTAATCCTTGCTTGAATTTATGTCGCTTGTAAATTCCAATGATAAAAAATGCATAAGTGATTTTCATGTAAGGAGGGATGATAGGTAGATCAAACTATGCAATCTTCTATCAATAGTGTTGTCTAAGGACCAATTTTATTATCAATTAAATATTATTTTACTAAATATTATCAAAGAAATGGTAGGAGAGAGAGGGAAAGGGAGTGATGGTCAATATTACATATATATGGGATCATGCTTAGAATCTATAGGTGTTTTTAGTGTTGTAAATTCTATTTCTCTTTCTCCCCTTGAGAGAACAACCTCCAACCTAAGTATATATGTTCGACCAAAATTAATTGGAATGTAGGGATTTAATGTATATGAACGTCCATATATAGTAAATATATAGAGAATAAGTTATTCTCTTTTAAAACGTGTAAAAGAGACCATGCCCTAATTACTTAATTATTCCTAAATGTCTAGAATGAACACTCACCATCTCTTTGTCTTGGGGGAAATCAAGACATTTAATGATATCATTTATAATTGCATTATGATTATCAATAACTAGGAAATATTGACAGTAGGGGTTCTATTTAATCTTTGATAATTATTTTTATAAACTAAATATTACTCTTGAGTCATATAGAAAAAGTAATGAACCAATTTAAGATTAATTGCCACTCATTATAGTTACCGATAATGTTATAATAGTATAAGAGAAACTCATCGAGAGAGAGAGATAGAGATAATTTAGAACCAAGCAAGAATGAGCCCCCTTTTATAAAAGTACGATAAATTATGCCAACCCTTTATGGATAACATCACTTGGATCAATTAAATAAACCAATTTTTAGAATGTGAGAGGTCTTTATTTAACCCTCTAAGAGATAAATAATACTTTTATATATCTAATGGATCTAAAAATAAATTGTATTGAGGGGATGTTTATCCGGGGATAGGTTATTAACTATCTTTCCCAATAAGAAGGGGAAAGGAGGGAGGGATATTATTAAAGGCCACTATTAGATCTTAATTTGTGAGATCATAATAGTTATACTCTTGGTACTTCAATTACGAGCATGATGGTGACCTATTTAAAGAAAGAAGCCCTATAATAATTTCGATGATATAATTGGCAGGAGAGAGAGATAGAAAAATCAATATAATTATTGATATGATAATAGGAGGGGAAACCTTCCAATATATTTAGGGAGTGATTAGAATATTTAACTTCCAAAAGATACCAAAATGAACCTTCCTATTATCTATCCCTATGCATGAAATAAAGAAGGTATTTGTCCTAATATTATTGTTGATCGGGAGATAGGGATTGAGGCATATTAAGAAATGGAATAGATGATCTCATCTTTCTCGATAATAATATCCTTGGTATTTGATTGTATAGAATACATTGGTATAACCAATCTTGAACTTTGTTATAAGGTTTATTTTGAGTATTCTATCAACAATCTTCACCTATCCCTCTATCTAATGGACCAATCTTTCTACTCTCTTCCCTAGCTATAAAGGAATAATCTTGGTTAATAGATTACTAATAGCAAACAACATTAATAGAGAGGAAGTAATATAGGATATGCTAATGAGAGGATATTATTGGGTAATTGGTTAATAGATTGGTTGATCATGGGATATTACCAAAAAGAGTGATAGCTTTTTCATGATAACTTTTATTTCTATTTAATAAAAGTATCATACTTGTCTTACTATATTTTTGGAGTATATTAACTATATAGTAAGGAGAATGACTTGGTTAATATTGATATAGAGTTGTTAATATTAATAGACCCTTGTTCCTCTTTAGGGAAGGATACCTTACTCTCAAAATTATCCTCAAAATAAAGGTACATGGAAGGACCATATTAGTTTGGACCTATATTGACCTTACTGAAATGATATCCTTAGATAATTGTACACCATTATTGGGATGGTGCATCGCATAATACAAGCTTATCTCCTAGGATATTTAGGGCTAACCTCCAAGAGAATACTATAAAGAGAGAGAGGATCCCCTCTTTATCTCTCTACCATCTAACCACTATTCCAGATGAAATAAGGCAGGTTCAAGAGGACATAAAGGATGTCAAAAAAGTACTCCTGATATGACTTATGGGATTTAAGTCATGGATATATTCCTCACATAGGACAATTATAAATATATAGTTGAGACAATGAACTAATGTTACTTATATTTCATAATCACCTACAATTTATCATCCATTCCTATTGGAGCTTATTGGATCCTCTCTTTATATTAAGAGAATAGCTCTCTTAGTTTAAGAAGACAACTAGACACATATTGAGATAGAAGGTACACATATAGGCTTGCACTTAAAATGGGTATAATCTACTTTATCATTTATCAAATTAGATTAACAATATATTCCATCTCGTTAATATTTGCATGTCCACATATGTTATGAAACATTTGAGTTTTGCTTTTCCCTCCATATATGCATTATAGACCGGGTTTGGTAGATTATAATTGATAAGGTAGCCCACCAATATTCAAAATATTATCAATCTATTTATTATCATACATATATTCCATGTAGGCTAATAATGAATATAGACATTAGTGCAATTAACATTAGTATTAAATATTAGTGTCAATATTTATAAACACCATAGTGATAAATCGGCGTATTAAGTTGATAGGAGTACCATGACAAATAATCCTTGATACTAATATATCATAGCCGAAGAATTATTATAGATGGCCAAATACAGATCTAAATCCTAGTGTGACAAGTGGTATGATCAGGCTCAATTTAAAATATTGGATCAGTCTAATCGACAAGCTAGTGATTATAATAATGCCTATAAGCATATTAATAGAAGAGGATATAATCCCTATATATATTACTAAGGTGAATCTCTCTAGAGGACTTGGTTATTGATAAATAATATAGAATAGCCTCTAGAGAGAGTGACCTTTATATATGGGAGAGTTAGAAATATAGTTTCCAAAATTTCAGATTAAATCTTTTGATGCATAGTATTTGAAACTATGGATAGAGTGATTGAGGCTTGCTAGATCGTGTTTGGGTCTATATTTAGGGACGAAATGAGAGGAAGTGGGAAAATTTAAGGGACGGTGATTTATTGAGTTAGTTGGAGGAATATTCACCCCATCACCCAAATCAATCAATCTAAGTCTCAACAATAGCTTAGGGGAAATCTAATTACTTGACTTATGTGCAATTCTCCCAAATTTCCATTTCCTACTCGATATCATGGGATATAACCAATCTCGAACTTGGTTATAACGTTTATTCTGAGTATTCTATCAATAATCTTCACCTCTTCCTCTATCTAATGGACCAATCTTTCTCCTCTCTTCCCTAGTTATGGAGAAATAATATTAACATGGAGACATAGAAAATTTATGATAGTATATTTTTATGATAGTTAACGAGATTGATATTAGTTTACTTGTTAAATATCAGTATAGATAAGGAGGGAGAGCAAAAAGATTGGTCCCAAAGAAATCAAATATGTTGTATATTATCCTCCAATATTAATATTAGGAGTGATTATATAATGCCCTTATAGTTTTCTAGTGATCTAATAATTGGGTTAGTACAAGAAGATAATATTTATGATAAGTAGTAGAGAGTGGTTATGTTACCCACTATAGTCTTTGCCCCAACTATTTCTATAGATAATTACATCAAATATTGGACATTTATTCTTATCTATCAACCCATCGAATTACGTGATTTGATAGTGCCAATTCCTCTTTGAAAACTATAAGGGCGTTATATAATCAATCCTAATATTAATATTGGAGGATAATATACAACATACTTGATTTCTTAATCACGGTCATACAAAACTATCATTTAGCATAAACGAGTTCCACCCTACTTAGGTCAAATAGGAGAGGGAGGAAGCAAGGTTAGCTTCTATCCTTATATGATAGATAATCAAAGAGTATATATCCAAGTAACTAAAATTCAATGACAATAATTACTTGCTTTAAATTAACTAATTAGTCATGTCCTATTGCAAAGCTATTATCATTGAATTTTGAAATATAGTTCACAATTAACTAGGTCCAAACTATGATAGTCTCAATAGGTACTATTAGAATAAGAAATGAAAATAAGATCTTTAGTCTCTACTAAAATAATAATGATTGAGTCTTAGCACATTCCTACATGGTTGTGCTAGCTCATAAATACCTACCTCAAATGGTCCAACTCTTGATCCATTGTAGTCGTGTAGATATTTTTCCTTGAAGCTATCTTCTGGCCATTCCAAGAAATTAGGTCATCTCGTTAATGCATCCCATTATAGAGAATAATATTGTCCATATTTAAAGGATAGTTTTGACCAAAAATATGAGCCAAAGAGAGTAGAATTAATCCTTGGTAACCAATAAATATGAGCCGAAGGGATTAGAATTAATCCCTAGCATGTGGTTTGACTCCTCTCCATCCCTCCTTCCTTCATCTTATATGAACAGTTATCTCTAAATATCATCCTCCTTTGAACATTAGGTAATTAGTATGGTAACATTTCTATTCTTGGTAAACACACAATAGAAACATGGCCATCACTATAAAAGGCTCTCCAAGTGGAATTTTGTAAGTTTTATAGGGGGACAGGGACAGATAGAGATGGAGGCAATTGATAACCTTTTACTAGTGGGCAAGTAAATGCAACCAAGTAGTGTTGGTCTTGATATAGACTCGATGTATATGTTAACACCCATGATATGTGAGTGGAGACCAGTATTGGGTTAATTCTATGGATATCGGGCATATTTGTCATATCAATGCGGAATTAACTTCATAGTCTTGAGAAATCTAGATGTAATTAACCCAAACGAATAGGAGTGATTACCAAGTGAGAATTTTGCCAAGTATTATTATGCCCATAGAGAGAGGATGGTGGTGTACTAAATAGAGAGACACTTTAGTCAAATTACAAAAAATAATAACTATTCACTAGCTTATGATAAGAACTCTACATCCAATATACCCATAGGAGTACATATGCCCATATCCCTCTTGGTTGATTAAACATTAGATCATGTTATTTACCATTCAAGACTGATATGATAAGACCTCTCTTTCTCCATAGATTTTTGTGCAATTAAGGGACAGAGGGAGGGAGGGAGAAAAGGAGGGGAAGATTTTTGTCAACCGTGTTCTATTGACTCACTATATATTTTGGAAGAGGGAGAGAGATAGGACCATAAAAGAGAGAGGTTTACACATAAGAACCCAAGGTAATGGTAAAATATACGTAATTAGTGGTTTATTTGGGACAATATTGATTTTCTAAATACTACAATTAGCTTTGTGAGTATACTAAAAGGTAGGGGATTAGTTATAGCTAATTTAGGAGATGGAAGGGGAGAACAACCTCTAATATGAAAACACAATAGTACCGAATCTTATTGAGTCTACTTATTTTATATACGCATAATTATTATTGTATATTTTAATCATGGTAAACCATAGATTAAGGAGTAACATTTTATCAAACGGGGCTAATGATACAAGCATAATGTTTCAAAATGTTGCATGCCCAAGTCATTTATAATATTTATCATATTCAAATGCTTAATAATTCCATGATTGTATCACAAGAATATTAATATGTGAGAGTAAGATTAATACATGGGCTCTAGATTATAATTGATATGATCACCTTATAAGCGTAAGAGATAGAGCAAATAGGGCCAAGGATTATTCGGACATCAATATTAAATACGATCACATCTTATTAACCATCCTTCATGAAATTAAGTATGGGATTAAGTTTACCTAATACCTTTTATTATGCAAATGATTAATCACTAGTATAAGCACTAATAATACTAATTGATGCTATTGATGGAGGCATATACCTTCAATAAGAAATCATAATTAAAGCCGTGGACCCGATTGGAGTTTAATCCCAACATCTATGTCATACTTAAAGGTGAGAAATAATATCCTACCATGGTAAATATTCCCTAGCTAATAACCCATTGAAGCTAACAATTCCCCATTAATTGTAACTAGGTTGCCATCCTATCTCTCCATATAACTCTCCCCATTTATACAATTAGGAAACGCATATCTTTTGCCTCCTTCTCTCTTCCTTCATTTGAGTAGGAAATATTAACCGTAATTAGGGGAGAGGGAAATAATATTCACACGAAGCCATCCTTTAAATTGGTAGGCCTTGACAAAAATTAGAGGATAATTTACCTAAGGTGCAGATCGAAGGTTAGAGAATAGCTATTCATATAGGCATACTTGATTAATATTGTCAACTATATGTAGAGTAATCAATTATATTTAAGATTGCCTTTATAATATAGTAATCACAATATATTACCAATGTACTAGTCCATGCATTATTAGCTATTGATTAATTAGGGGGAAATGTAGATGGGAACCTATAGAGAGATTAGTATATAGACTAGTATTATATCATAACTTATTCTTCTTCGAGGGGTTATCTATATAGCTAATACTCCATAAATGTCTCACCAATATATCAATTACGGACAATAGATTCAAACATTTTTCTCTCTTAATATGTCACAATAACTAGGGATATTTAACCAATATCTAATATTAGCATTGTTATTGGTATATATCAAGATGTCATTAACCTCTCCCTTCATGTGCATGAATAACTCCCCCATTATAAACATTCTCTCTCGATTAGTTTATCCCTAACCGTAAGCTAATCTTATATGGGATTAACTTATACATCTTTTTGATATACTAATATTCTTGATAGAAATGGAATACATCCAATTTAACAATATACTATAGCCCTATTCTTGGGTGTCAATGATTAACTATAGGAATTTGTTAGTTATATACTATTAACCTATCGGCTAGATTATTTTATAATAGAAATAATTAGTGTTAGGATCAGATAGGAGGGAAAGACAGAGTAATCTAAGTATCATAGTCCATTTTTTGCTTTTTTATGGGTTATAAGATTATGTATAAAATCTCTAGAGGCAGACAAATTTGGCCATATCATCTCCCTAGATAACTAGCATTTGATAATCTTGGATAATCAATATATCAATATATCTTAATGAGATCTCTTTCTCAATCTGAACCTCATCATGCCTCTTATTGGTCATGAATTTAGGTTTAGGTAGAATTATCCAAACCCTAATGATTAACCTTAAATAGAGGCCTTTAGGAAACCAATGCAAATGCCAGCTTACTCGTCCTCTCTCTCCATATAACAATATGTTATTTAACTAATATTAAAATATATTGTACACTCTCTCTATCCATTCTCTTTATATTGATTAATAGGAGGCATGATGTTCATTATTTTTCGGGATGATGCGGACCAATAGGCTTTGGATAGTATTTAAAGATTATCTATATTAGCCTATTAAAATATATACCTAAGATAGGATAGGACTAGCTTAATAGATGGGGCATGGCCAAATAATCTATTTGCCATTTAGATTACTATTGTACCAGATGTATAATAACCTTATATATTACCATGATAATGATGTAGGTGGCTAGACAAGTTTATACCCTACTTGTTTACTAATTGATAATATCATGATATTATCTAGATAATAATAGAATTTGTTACTTTCATATGATAAAAAAGGTTATTATACTATTAATTTCTCCATTGGTATAAACTTGATATAGCTTACTATATATAATCACTTCCTATGATGTATTAGTATTTAATTCGGGCTATATCACTCTCAATCCTTGTAGAACTATGATAGGTTAATAATCATATTTCACGCTAATTGCTCACCTAAAGTTATCTAAATTCTTGGATTAGATATTATGGGCATTGAAAATATATTAACCATTATGTAATTGGGAGAGTGATTATCTATTTCTAAGGTCAAATTCGATCAGGTGAGAATAAATATTAAGGTAGGGATGTTAGTATATAAGGTAACATATCCAAGCCTACTTTTACGTAGTCCCTCCCAAAATCTATATTCTATATACTTCATTAGAGGTAGACTTAATCATCCATAATTTCCCTCCATAGAAATATTTATATTGAGTCATTAACTCTTCTCTTTAGAGTATTCTCTTGGAGGTCAGCCCTAAATATCATGCGAGATAAACTCGTATTATGGGATGCACCATCCTAATAATGGTGTACAATTATCCAAGGATATCATTTCAGTAAGGTCGATATAGGCCCATGGAGCTATAGATTAGAATTTATTAAGTGGGAAAAAGAGGAAGAACCATGTCTCTTACTATAATATAGATGGAGCATTCTCTCTTTATGACTTTTATTTTGTTATAGTTATAGTTTTTCAATGTAAATAATGTAATTGATTCCTAGAGGACAAAACCATAATTTTAGGATAATGGAGAGAGGGGGATTATTAATCATATCAATTATATAAACAAATGGTCATTATATGTTTCTTTTTTTTCGATTTTAAATTTATTTGGGCAATTTGTGGGTTATTCCCTCTTCCTACTAGGATCTCAATATTCTAATTGATCTATTGTAATAAATTAAGTGTGAAAGAGGAATTGGCACTACCATATCACTTATGATATTAAGTTAGTGCCTTCACTATCTTTCACTCCTTATCATTACCAAGTGATAGGAGTAATGATATCATGATTTCAAGGGAAATCAACTTGGTTTAACTCTATTTTGGACAAATATAGGTATGACGATATAATCTCTTTTTATATTGTTAGTCCAGTGATATGTTGGTAAAAATGCTAACAAGGATATATGGATAAACTTATTCTTTCATAATAGGATATTCCTCTCAATTAGCTATAATTATGATCGATAATTATACAATTCTCTCCCTTTCCCCTTATTTCTAAGAGATGATTGCTAGGTAATAGGCCTATAGTTAGATTATATTATTCCTCACCTTATATATTGGAATGACCATCATGGGATATTAACAAGATAAGTCTCTATAGCACTTTAATAATCCTATGGTTATATGGAGGTTTTTCCTGTTCAAACCATATGGCCGAAGAAGGAGATAACCATTTAATAGTTTCTTATCGGAGATTAATAAGATATTTATATTAATATTATGAACCATGAAAGTATTATTAACAATTAGAGACTTAACATCTTTTATAGTTTAAGGATCACGATAATTAAATTAACTATCTCAATATAAATGAAAACATGGTTACCATATAATTTGGCACTCTATAAGATCATATAAATGGAAATAAAGGGAATAATTATCTATATTCATAATATCTTTCCAATTTGTTTAATATTTACCAAGGACAATCCCACAACATCACTAATCGGATGAGACTAATCCTAAAATGATAACTCCCTTTCTAGAATTCAATTAAATCCATGTTAATCCACCATTCAAGAATAAGTCTATAGTAGCATCGATAACTATGATCATTAGCCATATCTTAATGGCTCATCCTTGGAAGTTAATATAGAGAGTGGCCTTACGTTATCATAGATATTTGAACGAGTCCCTACCATTCAATTAAAAGGTGGGACTAGAAGATTATTAAGGTTATCAAATTACCCTCTCCTTTCAAAGGTAATTATCCCTTGGTTTCAATGCCACCTTCCCCTCAATCTCTAGAATATATGGAATTAGAGAGGAGAGTTACCATTAATTAACCCATCATAAATTAAGTACAAATATATATTATCTAACTCCTTGGAGTCAATTGGTAGTCTCCCTATATTCGTCTATAAATAGTTGTGATATTAGTTGAGAAGAGATAATAAACTAGAATTGCTTTAGATCATTTCACTCTCCTCGCTCCCTTTCGTTTATTATTCATAAGAAAGGTCCTCTTATCACAATTATGAATTTTATACTTAATTTCAAAAGGCGTTAGATAAATATTGGCAACATGTTTATCTATAGTCCAAATTTACCATATATTAGGTATTCATCTAGGTTTTCTAATATTTATATTAGGGTTCTCTCTCTAATAGGTTGATACTCATAAAGAAAATCCTCACCTAGGCTAATGATGGAAATACCCTTATAACACAAGCACCTATGTAGTCATAAATTTCTTAATTTAGATATAATTGTAACCAAAATAAGGCTAATCAGTTTACCTTTTCGTATTCCAACGAGGGAGAAATAGGACTCTAAATATATTATTAAGTGAATTAGAATTAGAGATTATTTCCAACAAGAGTATCAATCGCCTATCTTCAATAGATAAAATAATATGCCCTATCTCTCATATTTTACTACTTTTACCTTTACAATAATCATGATATTCCTTATGATACCATGAGGAACACCTATCCCCGGTATATTCATTGTATTGAAGTTAGACTTCAATTATTTTACCCTTTTAAGTTACACCTATATGTTAATCGATCCTAGTCAAAGAGTTGGTATGATCGACCCTCACTCTTTACCAATTAACTAAATAAGTTGATAAGAATACGGCATATTATTTTCCAATCAAATAAGCTCGTATTCTCCCAATATAAGCCTTTGTGTAGCTTACATCCTCAAGGTCCTATCATCAATAATTAGCTATATCAACTTATTCTTCTCTCAACTAACATCACAATAAATATTGGGCATATATCAAACAATAACGATAATTGTTTGATATATACCCTCATATAGTTATACAATCTGGGCCTATTGACCCTAGATGAAAGGGAGAGAAGGAGAGAAAATATAGAAGGGACTATTTTGGTGGGACTCTAGTGCGGGCTAGAATGTAACATCCTACCTATAAGAAAGGACTATTAAGGGTTAATTATATAGCTAATACTTTTGTTAATATTATGGATAAATTATAATATAGAGATCATCAAAATAATTAGCGGTCAATTAATCTAAGTAAGCTAGGCAATAATCTCTAATTCACTTACTATAATAGTATCATTATAGGAAAACAGCATATTAATAAATATTATTATACCTTGACTTGGCTAGTGATAATAGCTGATTGGGAGAGGCTTACGAATAATTTAATACATCTTCTTAAGTCAAAATGGAAATTACTTAAAGCATTAGCTATCCTGTTAAATGATATCCTTAAAGATTTTACTGATGGGCCATGCAAGTAAATCTTGATTTTACCTACCAAAACTATCCCCGTTAGTCCTTCTATTTTGGGTATTTAGTGCATCTTCAGTTTGTTAACCCTGAAGATGATTGACTATAAACGGGTTCTTACCAAGATATTGGATAACATGATCATCTTAGAATAGATAGGACCAAAATGAGGAGAGGTTACCATGCCGATTGGACGAACATTGGTAAAAAATATTAGATGGTACCTTTATAGAATATAATGTTATGCAATTTTAAAATAACTAGACCAATGGTCTTTATATTAATAGTTATGGAGAGTCTATTACACGAAACATTTGATTTTACACAGCAAGTAATGAGAGATATTCAGGGATGATTATAATATCTATTCTTATAAGTATTAATAGTTATTGGAATATTAATAGCGAGGTATTATAAAAACTAATTACCCTCTAATAGATCAATAATGGCCATGCATGATTCTTTTTAATAGATTAACACATAAGAATATATAAAGGATTAATCCAATGGTATCTTTTCAACTCAGACCAATCGGGACAGGTTATCTATTAACAAAATTGGTAATTATTAAACTAGGGTTTTCCATTAGTAGATTTTTAATCGCTAAGAAATATTAATAGGGTTCATAATGCAAACCAGGTTTAACATTAGGACGAGAGGGGAGAGAGGGAGAGAGAGGGAAAAAGTATCGTGCAAGATGTTAATAAATAGGGAGAGGAAGAGTGTGATTAAAATGCCTTTTCATATTATTAAGTCTAAGAAGAGAATATAAAGTCTATCATAAGTGCTGAATCAAAAGGTTTATGCCATGATAGTAAAGGGGGTCAATTGATCACGTTAGTTTTCGAGATCAATTGACCTCCTTTATCTTCATGTTAGTGAACGATACGGGGAGAGATTAATTTAGATATTACCACTAAATCTTTCCATATAATAGGGCATTTAGAGGCTTGATCAATATCCTAAAATATATCCCCTAAATTGATCATTTGAAGAATGAGGGTATATCCAATGGAATAAGTCCTTTTGGACCTTTAGCTTTGGATTTCAATTTTTATGGCTCTCATACCATTTTACGAATTTCAAAAATTTGGAGAGATTGACCTAGTCAATGCATTTTTCCTTCGGGAATATGGACAACTATAATAGAGCCTCATTTGACCAAGTTTATAAAATGGTATTTAATAACTTGAGATCAAACTATGATATATTAGGGCCATTTATTCTTGCAAGTTTTAATTATTCATCCACCATAATTGAGTCTGATATTCCCTCCTAATATTTGTAGATATAAGGCATTTTAGCACATTCCTAGTTTGGGTTAAAATATGTTAGTGGTAACCTCAATGAATTATTTATTTGGTTATCCCTACCAATAACTAGCCAAGACTAGGTAATGATTCCCCGTGAGAATTCGTCTAGTATTCTTGCACAAAATATCAAACCAACGATTGTTCCATATTATAATAAATTTGGAATCAGACTAATCCCTCCTGTGCCCAATTAGGGTTATATCAGGTGTCATAGTGTGATCATAGAATTATCTATAGTTATGGGACAATCGTTCATGAACTTTGATAGAAATTGAAAAATAGTCTTATATTGTTTTCAAACTCCAATAATGGTTCCATATGAGCTTGAAGCAAGTAATGAGGATGGTGCATCCATAATTGTACCAAGTTGGTAAAAATTGGAGAACCATTCATCCAAATGAATGACTAGTTAACGTAGCACATAGGCCTATATATTACCGGTATTATAAGCAACATATTAAGTTCATTTTTTGGAGTATACACTAGAGGATATTTAGTTTGGGGTTAGAATGGTTCCCTACAATAAGAGTACCCATTAGAGATATAATTTTTGTCTAATTGAGTCTTCATATTTGTATGAAAAGAATAGGATTATTATTGTATAGGAGGAGATTCTATGAAATAGTACCCGAGGTGATAGGGAATAAGGAACTAAACAATTAGTTCTGGAGAATTCTCATGCATTAAAAAGGTGTCTATGGATATCACGTACCTTATCAGTAGGGCCAATGAATATAAGAGAGAGAAAAGGTTTCTAATATTCAATCTAACATAAGGTTGAATAGGGTGATTATTATGTGGTGTACATGCTCCGCTAATATTCAATTATCCATATTTATAGTATTTAATATTTCAAGTTTATAAGATATCTCTACAATTTACGTGTCGATATGGTTTAACCTAATAATTTAAATTAGTTTAATTAAGCGGAAAATAAATATATTGATTAAGACTACTATGTTATTTATTGTTCTCTCAATATAATAGCCTTATCATCACCCTATTCAACCTTAGGTTAGCCTAATTAATTCCAACCTAGGCCCTTGATCTATCTTTCAAGTGTAATGAGTTTAATCTATTCATTCTCCTAAATAGACCTCAACCCTCATATTCCCTAGACATGATAGGATTAAATATCACACATTTGGTTAACTTAAAATTCTAATGCTGTCTTACTAATTGTGTATAGACCTTACTAATTGGTACAAGAATTAGAATTAGTGCCACATAGTGTATAAGATAGTCATGGACACATAGGAAAGACACCTTTTATCTTAATAATGGTAATTACTAAGATATTTGGTCTATAATATTTAATTATTAACTAGTATTTTGATATTATTACTAAGTTAATATACTTACCATATATCCCTCTCTCTCCAATTATACTTACTAACCATGACGATATTACCATAGCAAATAACGTAGAGAAGACAATTGTAAAGACATAATGATTAAATTTATTAATCGGTGGGGATATAATATGACTAACCATCATATTTCAATGATGAGCAGATACTATTTTCAATATTACGTTCATAATATTACCAATATACTTAGGGATAATACAGAATGTAAGTAAGGGTAATCATTTCCAATATGATAATCCCCTATGTCTTATACTCCAACACATTTCACTACCCAATATCTAATTCCTTAGTATACTTGGTCAACATTTAGGGAGTATTACTAATTCACGGATGCTCACCATGAATTATGCTTATAAGGTTACTCAATAAGCATACTGGACCTCGTATCTATTCCAAAGAGATTTGTGGCAACCAATAACCTAGGAGATCATAAGGTATAATGAAATAGAGATTACTAAAACTAAGACCTAGTATTAACCATCAATATTCAACCATGAGTCCAAATAATATGAAGTAGAATATGGTTATTGGTCACGACAAATCTCCAATAAGAGAGAGAGTAATAGATGCAATATAGACTCCCTCATCTATACTGGGCCGAACTGAAATCATATATACACATTATTTGTTGTCTATTATTTTCAAACATCAAAATAATATGGGCATACCTTATGGGATTACCTTCACGCTCATATTATAATCAGGTGTTTATGACCAAAGGTACACCATATTAGGTTAAGTAAAAGATAATTATAACCATCTCCCTGATTAATATGGTCCCCTTGTTATATAAACGTACTCTCCATCATTGATTAAAGCACCAGTCCATACCATGGGTTATAGAATATAAAATAATGACAATCCTAGTATGCTTGTTTTAGAATACCATACTCAATAATGCTCCCTTTTGACTCCAACATAGTGGCTCGCATCTCAATCGTATGAAACAATATTATCGATTGTTCCTTTTCACCAATAAATTATGATTAAGCTACCTTTCCTCTCAATTAATCATGGGAAATTATAAAGGAAATTAAGAAAAACCAAATACCTTAATGGTAAAATACGAAGGAAAAGGGAGTTTTAGTTATAATCTAGAGTAAATTAATCCTTGTTCTAACCTCTCCCCATGGTTGTCACTACTAGTAGCCATTCCTATCTAATGGTATAATATCGGTTATAACTTTTATTATGAGAGATTATAACTAAATGAGGATTAGCAATTTCATTAGATATGTTAAATAATATGTTAGGTTATTATATTGTATAATACTTTTCTCACGTTGGGATATGGTTATCATCCATAATCTGAATTTATTAGGCTATCTTGTATTAGCCAACTTAATACTATTACCTATAATTATCCAATTAGTATGTTATGATCAGTATCTATATATAATTAAAAGAGGATAATATTATGAGGTGTCTAATAGAGAGAAGAGAGTAATATTGAGTCTTATTACCCCGATACCAACTTAGCAATGACAAATATATTGATCTATTGATTATCCAAGTAATAGGGATAAATTTGGGTAAAATCTCTTTTATGGTCCTCTCTTCCCCTCTTCTAAAATATATAGTGAGTCAATATTAATAATAGGATAGTTAATATTATTTAATACTTATTTAGGGAATGGTTTGGGTAACTCATAGCCTTTAAAGGGAAAGAATGCTATAAAGAATAGAGCTTTGGAACCTTTCTACAAACCATGATAATCTCTTAGAGAGCTAGGATATATATTCTAGGGATAAGTATCTAGGTTATGTAAAGGACAATTTAATAAAGTGATCATAATATATTTTATCAACATTTTCCATAGATACTTAATGGATAGTTTTTCATCGATAGAGTGAAACTTACATATAGTATTTTAATAGAATAAACCCTCTAGATCAAATGCTTTTCTATTAAGTCCCTCTTGAAACCACCAAATCGGGTTTCTTATAGGAGCTAAGGGGTTTATTCAATCAAATTAGACCCCTCCCTCCTCTACTGATAAAAAGCATTTGTTTCAAGAGATGATCACATTAATAGTTAGGGGGTTTATTCGGTTCAAATAGCCGATCGACATGAAATTGAAAGGTGGAGAGTTACATAACCTTCACACACATATAGTGAGGAATTTCTTATATGTGAAATAGAAATTTTTATAATTTTAGAGGGAAAGTCTCTACCTAATCAAGATGATTGATCCTTATTATGAAAAAGATGGTTAACTATGCTTTCAAATAAATAGTTAATATGGCCCTAAAATATAATGGGATATAGCTTACTCATAACATTTAATGTAATTGAGAAAGATGTTGTGATATCTAAGACACCTTTCTAATAGTAGAAATTGATAGATGGTAGTTCACTTATTACTAATGACCTCTATATATTATACTAAGGTGGGGAGTTAATACCAATATTAACTCCCCACCTTAGCATTGTCTACCCTCAATTATTGTTAGGGACCAATCTAAGGTTCATATATATAAGATTTCACCACTCAGAGAGAGAGAGACCAATATATTAGAGATATGGACTTGAAAATAGCTAACGAGTGTGATTTGGTATCCCAAATTATAGCCTTTATTTAATTTAAAGTTAATATCATTGGGTGAAGTTACTCTATGGCCTTGAGAAATGTGAGGGAGAGAGGTCTAAATAGGGCATGCTTACTAATATGGTTCAATCCCTTGGAATATATCTCGTATGCATACTAAATTATCTCATTTAGAACCAATACCTTCTTGGTCACATAAAATTATCACTATTGGGATTTCGATGTATTGTGAATAGAAGGCATTTTGATTGAACTTATACATCTTTAAAGTATAATTGGTTGAATTAATTTCCATTGCATAATAAATTAAATATCTTGGAGTCGTAAATAGGAAATGATGAAGAGGTTGATATTCCATGGGGGCCATTCACTATAAGTTATCAATAATATTAATCTTATATTTCAACAATGGGCTAGGGGCTATACCCTAATGGTCCATGTCCTCCTGTTTCTAGACGAATGGAATAAGAGATTATTTGTAATTATGATAGTAGGGTTATTCATAATGAGGGAGGGCACAAGAAGTAAAATTATTCTAGTATGTTGTTATTAATAGGATGAAAATATATTTATAATACCATATCGATTAACTATAATATCCTTAATTTCCTTTTAAATATATCGGATGTCATAACGGTGGAGAGGGCTTAATTTGGGCTATATATTCCTACCTAGGTGTCTCCCTAATGATACAACCTCTATTAGCATCCAAGTTAACCCCTATAGACCAAATGTTCTTCCCTGGACTCTACAAATAAGATTAGTCGTATCATTGTGAATCCGACTAGTGATGAGGAAGAGTAAGGACGATTCTTATCTCTAGATTGGGAGAATTATACTAGTTGGTAGCTCATTTGGGCCAGTCACCTCCCTAAAGAATACAAGGGTAATTAGCTAGGGACTTATACATCACTAAATAATCATAGAAAGAAGGGATGTTTAACTTATTTTCAACATGATTATAGAAATCAACTACCTTAGGAAGGTGCATTTGCATAATATTTAATTAATTTATTATGATTGATTAAATAAACCAATAGGCATGGACTAATAGCTCTCAATGGTTAAATTAGGTTAAGATTGAGATAATTATTTAATACAATTGTTTGGTATGTCCGATTTACAAGGCTAATAATTACTTGCTTCCCCAAAATAGTCTTCTTCAATACCTATCTCTCTTTTTCATAATAAGGACCAATCATCTTGATTTGGTAGGGACTTATCTAGGACAAGATTTATGGAGAGAGATGAATAGTAACACTAGGTTTCTCTCTCCATCATAGTCTAATTTGGAATATAATTTTATTAAGATCTATCATTGAGAGCAAGTGAATTATTACCAACAAGGGAAGGGAGAGAAAATTAATGAGACTCGAAGGTTCGCCCTATTACCTTCTATTATTAGACAAATTGTACCCTCTCTATCTCTCTTAATTGGCTAAGCATAGGAGGATATAATATCATCTAAAAGTTAGAGTCCTTAATAATTAGCCTACCCTCTATCCGTTATCCTTTAAATTAGGCCATTATCAAGGCTATTGACACAAACATAGCTTTCTACCTTATATATGATAATATGTTATAATTGAAATCATTATTTTACCATATTATCATATATTGATGCCTCTCTAATAATATTAAAATAGATTAATAATATGATAGATTATTTTCTTGGTAATATGATACCGGGTATCTAGGCTTTTATCTAATGTCCGAATAGTACATATATTGGTGTAGGTCACCAATTTACTAATTTGGTGATGTGGAGGGAAAGACAAAACTCAAATTATTGTGATAATAGTTATTTTTGCGTAAACACGAAGACCAAATCACTCTACCACCACAGTTCATCTAAAGGATATTAAGCATTCCAATTCCCAAATTAGAACATTCTAGGACAAAGGTCGAGAGAATAAACATGGCTAGTGAGACAATTAAGGTGGATGTTACCCAAGAATATATTCATATAAGCCAAAGAGAATAGTTTATGGGTATATTTATAAGACATCCTCAATGATGAACCTATATTACCCCTATTAACATCAAAGGTGATTGAGAACTTGTCTTATCATCCATGCTTAAAGTAGGGGGATTCCTTTTAGGGATATATTTACACATTAATATAGATGATTTCTAAGGATATTATGAATTAACTCGTTAACGATAAATAGAGATATGGACTATTACACATCTCGTCAATTAACAAGAGTAAATTAAACCTATCAATTTACTCCTTGGTAAATTGCATTAAGGAGATGTATATCATAGTTAAGGGTATACTTGAATAGGTTATTGTAGTGGATAATCTCCATTTACTAGGTTATGGTTATAATGGTCTCATAATAAGTGATAATCGAGTATTGCCTCAATTCTATTAATATCTAGTAACTAGACATTATTAGCATCGAAGTGTTATTTCTCTCTCTTAGAACCACTACAATAACCTATTTAAGCTATTCTAGGCCCCTTTAATAGTTTATGAGTAAACATCTTATGAAGAGAGGGGGATGTTCGATTACACCAACATTAATAGTCATAGCATAATATAGTCACCCCACCTTTAAATATCATATCTCCGATAGGATGGGCATAATTCCTCGAATATAGCAAATTGGATAACCTTTTATAATTGTCCATATATTTGATTATCACCCATTTAAAATATTCGACCCCTATTTCAATTATCATATAATAATGGTGATATGTCTTATTTATGATAACATAGGATATACCTTATTGTCATCCCAAGGTATTATACACTACTTTTCGTGGTATTTCATAGGGTCGAATATTTTATGACATGTATTATCTCTATATTTGAAATTGTGACAAGTTTATCATGTTCACATAATTATCAAAGGATAACCCCTAATTAACTAACAAGATAGAAATAAGGGTAAATCTCTAATGACATAAATTATAACAAGGAGTTTTCTAGACTATCACATTGATTGTATTATATAAAACTAGATAACTTGACAATATTGTACTACCATGGTTAATTTGATAGGTTTGTACTATAGAGTACCCAAATTCCCTTGATACTTGCCATTAAAGATATCATTCCTTAAATAGGTTACTGTAGTGAATATTCCTACAATATATTAGGTTATTATATCTAATCAATGGCCTTACGTTATTAATAGGAAATATATTGTATACTCCACATCGTTCATAAAAATAAATATTCACTGATATAGGGTTAGAGAGGAGGCTATCCAAAAGGAGACAAGTAGATGATATATTGCACTCGGTTGATAAGATATTAACAATCTTAAGTTAGGAATTGATTTACGAATAATGAAAGAGAGGGAGAATATATTAACCCTATTATAATCAGGTGAGGATGTGCTTGTAGATTAACCCTATTCTCACAACCCATGAAAGGTGTAATTTATCATAATTAGAGGTGGTTCAACTACTATATTTATTCTTAATGAGCGATTAAGAATAAATAGGTTAGGATGTTGATAATTTTAGAATAATAGGATATGGTGTAATTTGCACACATGTAAATAGTGCAAATTCTATTAGCTAATATATGAAAGATAATCAATATTAGCATAGGTCAATATATCTAAAAAATGAACATGATATCATTATTTATAAGGTATATCTAAGATTACTCTTTTAACTAAGGATTACTCCTTCCTATCTTTTGGTATAATTTATATCTCTGATATAAGATTTCCCTTTGATTTAGGCTTAAATCCACTAATTATCAACTATATACACGTATAGCATATATATGGTATATTTATCATATTTGGTCTATATAATGAGGTTGATATTAGTTTAGGTAGAATAATAGTCATGGATGATATACCCTATAGATCATAACAAAGTGGGAACCCCTCCTATAATATAAACGGGTTATAACCTTTTGAAAAAAAGGTTAATAGCCATGAATGATATGATTGCTAAATTTCCATATGTATAGCTAGGACGCTCATCAATTTCATGTCCTAAGGATATTTGGCCTAAGGATACTAGGATGCCTCATTAATATAGTCCTAGAACATTGCCGTATTCATTAGTCTATTAACAGGATATAATCATAAATCCTAAATGATAATACGTAGATCCTACATATTAAGTTGGCATTCCAAGATTTCGGTGCAATCTATGGCAACCTATACTAAATTCTTATGATTCCACAACTATTCCAATGAGTTTGTGATAAGATAAACAAATATAAGAAGCTACATTAACGTTAGACAACACTATTCAATCATATCTACTAGATGATATATGACAAGGGTCTAGAATAATCCTATTCTCCAATCATATCTAAGTTACAACACTATAACGATTGATATTCTAAAAGAGTGGGGTAATATTTATCTTCCTTTATCCGACCATAGATTTCTCCAAGTCAAGGTGCAATCGTAATTATCCTACAATTATAGATAAAATATAATAGTTTGATCAGCCTATAGTATTATAGAATATTCCAACTATAATAGATAGTCTATAATAGTACTTGTAATAAATGGGTATCACATTATTATAATGATGACCATAGGCTTAGAATAGAGATTATATGGGAAATAACTAATACCATTATCTAATATACATAAACATCACATGTGATAGCTATAGTTATTCACTCTATGAGTATAATTAGTATTAGTTAATCACAAGGGCTACTCCCTATGGTGCGAGAGAGTTCATTAATCATAAGAATTTAACCATTGTCATATTGGAAATGATTAATATAAGGGATAATAATCACGTTTAGGGCTAATATTATTACCTATCATAGCCCATAATATAAGACCCTAATTAGTATATCCTTTTTAGGCATTTGTTGATTCTAACATATGAACAACTAACCCTCTATGTCATTAAAATTATTTCCCCACCTAAGTGATATATGTTTACCTCCAAAGGAATTCCATATATTTAAGTAGTTGGTATATCATTTTAAAGTGTATATTATAAATGTTAATATAGAGTTATTTGAGTTAGGTAATATTTGCGTACCCTAAATTACCCATTACAAAATGACTAAAATATCATTCTTTAAGCAATTGAATGTAACGTAATTGCTCTATTCACCTTGGTGAGAATTCCATATTATTGAGTGAATTCCTATATATAATCGATTTATATAACCTCATGATGGTTATGCCTCTAAGGTCTCCATAAACTCTTTCTCATGATTACTAGTAAAATATAGTATTCCATCCGATTACTAGGGTTATACATGTACTATAATGCTTTCTATAGGGTGTATTATGTCACCCTAAAGTAATAATGTAGTTAACCATATTAGTATCAATTTATATAGTCTTTGATTCATGGATCACACATTGCATATTCCTATTGGGTTTACCTTATCACCTCTAACATCTAATAGATATTTGGGTCGATTTCCCACTTTTATTGATACGATATGAAGACATGTAAGTGGGGTCACTCTATAGGAATATCCCTTCAATGTTTAAGGAATATTCTAGTATAAT